TCCGCTGTCCTTCACAGAAGTGGTCTGCTCACTTGTAGCTGTAATACGTCGTATGCCTAATAGATCCAATCATGTCATAGTTTTCTGTAGCTAGCAGTACATTGGAACACGTCTTTTAAATCACCGTCAAACTGTAAGGGCAACGGAACTGTTTGCATCTTGTAGTAGTTTCGCATTGCTGACCTGTAGCCGGACATCGTGCTTGCCTTCACAGCAGTGTTCTGCATGGTCCAGACGATAAACCGGACAAAGTCGTCGTACGAAAACGCTGCCAGATTGATCGAGCCGTCGGCACTCAGTAGAGCATCGGCTTGATTGATCTGCTGAATCCACTTGACGACTTGACGGATGCCTGACGCGTAGGCCTTTTTGGATCTTTCGGCCACCAGAGCTCCGTGAATATCCTCCAGCGTCGAAGTTTCGCGCTGCGGTACCGTCGCCATATCAAGTAATGATACTGTAGACATGCATACACAGTATTTCATCCAATCACTGCTCGAGGATACACGATAGGCCAAGTGGCCGACAAAGGGGCTGGTCTGCGAACATTCCCTTCCACGCTTCCACGCAAATACGACTCCTGATTGGCTAAAACGTGAATTTTACCGGATAACACAACCTCAAAAGCAGGGACGCCTGAGTTGAAGCAGGGATGATTCATCCCTGTGTTTGAGTGTCCGTTCCTGCTTTTGCACGTTTTCGATAGAAATTAAGAAATATTTTGATATATTTTCAGAATCCTCGAAAATAGTTCGGATAACATCCCTGCCTTAAAGCGCGGATGGTTTTTCACAGACCAGCCCCAAAGGACCAGCATTTCCATTGTTTTCATTTATCTTGCTATTTGTATTTGCCGTGCATTAATTCATGGAGAAAAGTAGAAAAGTAGGCCAGGTGGCCTACGTAACTATTGACCGTCGCCATATCAAGTAATGATACTGTAGACATGCATACACAGTATTTCATCCAATCACTGCTCGAGGATACACGATAGGCCAGGTGGCCTACAAAGGACCAGCATTTCCATTGTTTTCATTTATCTTGCTATTTGTATTTGCCGTGCATTAATTCATGGAGAAAAGTAGAAAAGTAGGCCAGGTGGCCTACGTAACTATTGACCGTCGCCATATCAAGTAATGATACTGTAGACATGCATACACAGTATTTCATCCAATCACTGCTCGAGGATACACGATAGGCCAGGTGGCCTACAAAGGACCAGCATTTCCATTGTTTTCATTTATCTTGCTATTTGTATTTGCCGTGCATTAATTCATTGAGAAAAGTAGAAAAGTAGGCCAGGTGGCCTACGTAACTATTGAATTTAGTATACCTGCCCTACGTAGTTCATTCAATGTATTATGTACGGCTACGTATGAATACTGTAACGTTAGTACATGTACCTGTTCTTCACTTGATTAACATAAACTAAGTAGTACTTCGATGTACAATGTACTGTACCAATAATATGAACTATATATTCAAATTCATATGTTTTGGAGGATTATTATGACGTATTTTGATGTTACCAATACTAGTACCGGTACATTGTACTTCACTTGATTACTACTACTCCGAGTAGTACGTAGTAACACATACTAGTATTGTAGTACATGTACCATGTACTGTACTACTACTGTACTAATAGTACAGGGAACAACGCTGAGTAACGGCGTGATGAGGACTTGTGATTGGACAGAGAGACGGTTCGAATTGGCCAATTGAGGATCACAAAACCAAAATATAAAAAGAGTATCGAATGAAAAAATGAGCTGTGAATATAAGATTACAAGGGATATAAATATAAAGCGTAATTAGTACTAGGAAGACATCGATGCCATGGTTTTCAAGTTCTCATTCTTGCAGGAAACTAATTATCACAAGGGATCAAGGTCATAAAAATGCCTAACGTTACACATAATGCGCGACACATATAGTGTGTGGATTTGCACCTCCCATGGGGACCAACAAAATGTGACATGACCGCTTATAAAAATACTATAATTTAATACTCTATTCAAGTAAAGAAAAAAAGTATACG